TCCTTCTTCTGAAGGGTCTTCCGCTTGCCGTGCGCCTGGCAGAAGATCGCGTCACCAAACAGCCCTACGACAAAGTCCTGACTTGCCTCCAACAGGGCGTCCAACGCCGACGCCTGCCACCTGGAGGCAAGCTTGCCAACTCGGATCAGCACTATGATAAAGGGGGACAGCTCCGTAACCGCACGATTTTCAAAAACAAGATAATTTGCTCACTTTTGAATATTCCACGTTCATACTTGGAGACGTTGATCGATCTAGCCACTTGCTCCTGGAGCTCATGCCGTATCAACACTTAGGCATTCCAAGCCAGGTGGAATTGCATACCTAAACTTGCCGTCTTCGTCGGTACCAGGCCGTCGGGCAGTCTCTGCATCGCATAGCTCGCGCACGAGACGAGCGAACGAGAGTCGCGGGATGAGCGGGTCCGTGCTCTTCTGGTACTTGCGGATCTCCCTAAGAGCTAGGGTTCCCGGCCTGTACCGACGCGTCTTCTTCTCTGGTTGGGGATTGCCAGAGGCAGCACCTTCCGGCGCCTTACGCTTAGAGCCTGTCGAAACATGGTTCAAACTATGAGCAATGGTTTAACTGGATGCATTCTGCTTGAAACATGAAAGCACAGCTTGGCAAAAGCCCATAAGGCAGAGCGTGCACTTGATCCATATCCAAAATTCAACAACCAAAGCTCGTAGGAACTGCAGAACGAGGTGAACCTGACAACCGTACCTTTGCCAGCCTGCGTAGTCTGACTGTCCGGTGCCTTTCCCTTGCCGCTTGCCGCTGCCTTGAGGTTTGCGCCCTTTACCCCACTGCGCTTCTTCTCCGCTGGTGCATAAAATACTCAAGATGAGAGCCCACCATATTGAGCATGCACCGGGATCCAAACAATAATGCGAGCTCGGGTTAGCAGAGACTCATATCAGCTGCTTCCAGCTGAAATAGTGCAATATCCTAAAGCGCACTCATGACCCGTTTTTGGTAAACAAACCGTCTGCCACGAAAACGGAGTAAGCCGCTTTGAGCGGAGATTGACCGCATTGTATACCAAAATGCGATCATACATCGAGTTTGGGAAATGAACCCATGTGGCCCTTTGGAAACGAGAAAGCGGATTGCTCACCCGCGGTCGTTGCATGCTTCCCAACCGCGGCCTTGCTGCTAGCACCTCCTTGTGCCTTCTCCTTCCCAGTGCCGCCAGCTGCAGCTGGACTGCCTGCAAGCACCGCCGCCCCGGCCACCGGCCTTCCCTTGTCCCCCAGAGCTTTGGAGGCGCTACGTAACTCCTTGTGACATATTGATTTACGCCTTGGCTGCTCTACCTCTTCCTCCTGAGCCCCATCCTGTGCCCGCATTCTATCCTGGTGTGCAAGTCCTTGTGTTAAAGCCTGAAGCTCGTCCATCTGCGCCTGGGTCGGAGGCTCAAGCGTAATGTCCTCCATTTCTGCAACCAGAGAGGGGTGCGGCTGGACTGCTGCCAGCAGATCGAACATATCAACACCGGTCCCTGGCCTCATGGTCCCATCCCCCCCACTAACCTCTTCCTGTTCTGCCCCATCCTCTGCAGGCATTTCGTTTTGCTGTGCACCTTCCTGCAGAATGGCCTCCAACTCCTCCACTTTCCAATGCTTCAAGGACATAATGTCCAGATCGTCATCGTCATC